ATGACAACTCAACCATTAAAGAAAATTAATGTTTTTCTGTTTGATTCCCACCCTGCCCTTTGTCTGTATGGAATTTCATCAGCTCCTCTGCTTTCCTCCCAAAAAACTGCAGCTGGTCTCTAAATTGCCCATCATGAACAATTGTGTGTGAGAGTGTGACGGACTGGCATCCCATACAGTGTGTCCCCTGCCTTGTGCCCTGTGACGGACTGGCATCCCATCCACGGTGTCCCCTGCCTTGTGCCCTGTGATGGACTGGCATCCCGTCCAGGGTGTCCCCTGCCTTGTGCCCTGTGATGGACTGGCATCCCGTCCAGGGTGTCCCCTGCCTTGTGCCCTGTGATGGATTGGCATCCCGTCCAGTGTGTCCCCTGCCTTGTGCCCTGTGACGGACTGGCATCCCATCCAGTGTGACCCCTGCCTCATTTCCTGTTCTTTGTGGGATAGGCTGGTGTATCGTAACTTTGGATTAAGGTGGTCATGGAAGATGGATGATGGATGGATGAAGTCTGACCTCACCTGTTGTTATCATCTGACAAAAGCCTTCAACTTGACATGATAACAGGGTGTCAGCATGTCAGGAATGAGCCCCACAGTGTCACAGGAAGATTAATTGGCAATTTCATTCACTCTGAATAAAATACCAACCTGCTAAGCAATTTAATTAATGCAGCTGCCCATTATGTGATGGGTTCATCGCATCTCTAAACAGAAGCTATTGCATGCTACCTGTCTAGCTGCTCATTAAGTCTTTGCAGACATGCATCCGTTAGAGCTCTGAGAAAGCTCAACTGATGCTTAATTAGCCTGCCGCTCGGGTGAAAGTTGAAAGCAAGACACAGTAATTGAAGAACAAAGCTGGAGATTAATATTTCATCAGGGAATTCTGTGTACCGATCAATAAGATGCGGCGTTCACCTGATGTGTGTTATTGTTCTGCATTAAATATGTATGCAGTATAGCTAAGCATGAGCCTGTAAAGAGCTTGTGTGTATATGCAATATAGTTAAGCGTGTGTATATGCAGTATAGTTAAGCGTGTGTATATTCAGTATAGTTAAGCGTGTGCATATACAGTATGGTAAGCGTGTAAAGAGTGTGTGTGTATATGCAGTATAGTTAAGCGTGTGCATATACAGTATGGTAAGCGTGTAAAGAGTGTGTGTGTATATATTTAATAGCTAAGTGTGTATAGAGCG